TCAGATAATGTATATGAATGCACATGCCTCCCTCGAGTAGAGACAAAACATCGCACACAAAGTAAGGACAAAACAGCATTCTCTCATCCCACACAGCTATGATCAAGTGGATGTATGAAATCACAACTGTTAAAGTCTACTGCATTAGTCCATGTTTAGAAAAATAGCCTGACTTGGCATGCTTTTTAAATTCACAGAAAATAAATGCTTTTTAAACTGCTTACCCGGACTTTGAAGGGAAAACGATGAGTATGTACTTCCAACCCTGAGAAGACTCTAACATCCATTCCAAGACTGTCAACCCCAATCAAATGAGCTCCCTATGAGAGAGATATTACAAGACCAGCTCAATTCAATTCAATTCTTTTAACTTCTTTAGAGGGTTGATATATATACATGATAAATCAACAGAACGAGAACAAAAAAAAAAAAACTTAATATTTCAAATGCAGGTTAATCAAATTTCACTACACTAATAAGACAATTTGATTGGTCATTCCTATCATAAATACTGTATTAGAGAATAACTATTTATATAGGGTAACGTCTTCTTAACAGATATATGGCCTTATGACATGTAATGTTGTCAAGGAATTCTTAGATCATCCTCTGGTTCGCCTGTAAAGTAACAGCAATAGACGAAATGTCTACCATTGTGGCTGCTTGCAGCTACTGCAATTCAGAAGGAAAACTCAGACACATTAGTTCAGAGGCCAAAAGACTTAGAATCCCTTACTAGAGCCTTGAACAAAGAAATTTATGGCAAGAAGATAGGTTGTTGAAGGAATAATAGAAGAATGGAAGCATCCACTTTTCATTCGCCTTCACGTAAGGTAGATCCAGTCTGGTAAAGATGGATTATACATCATTAGTCATTCTAGCATATGTCAACTGACATCTCAGTTTACTTCCCCACATGATGAGGACAATGGAAGCAAAGTCAAAATCCTGAGGAAATGAATTATCTGACATGACGTCCAGTATGAATGGTCTCAGCCATAATTTTCTGAGTATCGGTCAGATTTACAACCAAGGTTATAGATTCTGCTTCGCCGAGAGCAGTTGCAAGATTCATAATCAAAGAGAGAACTTCAACATCAACCACTGCTACATTCTCTTCAGCTGGACCTCGGCTTCTATTAAATATATGTGCTTTGGATTGCTAAAAAATATCTGCACCAGATTTACGACCAAGGTTATAGATTCTGCTTCACCGAGAGCAGTTGCAAGATTCATAATCAAAGAGAGAACTTCAACATCAACCACTGCTACATTCTCTTCAGCTGGACCTCGGCTTCTATTAAATATATGTGCTTTGGATTGCTAAAAAATATCTGCACTGAGCTCAAAGAAAGTTCTATGCTGTCAAATGCTCAAGGATTCCTTTCAAGCCACATGCTACGAAAGACAGAGGTACTGCCTTCGATGTGTCACATATCTGCTTGCTAGCAAGCAAAAACTGTTTCCAGCCAGTTAACTCATTCATATCACTCTTAGGCAACTCAGCTGACCTATAATGGTATACTTGATCCAAAAGATTCATCAAAGTCCAAACTCATGATGTTGTAGGCTTATGATATAAGGACTTAATTCCCTACATACTTAAACCCTACACAGTGAGAGACATGACTTCACAGCACAAAAGAGAGACATCCTAAACTTTAGAAATGAGTATGGACATAAAGGAGCTGCATATAACTTTAAGCATACAAAATAAATAATCAATTAGTTACCTCAACATGAAGTCCTTTCCTTTTGCATAAAGCTTTAAGAGCAACATCACACCTAATACCTCTTTCATTGAAGCGATCTACAATTTCCGAGGTAGCGTTTACAAGAACATCAGGTTCTGCATCTTGAAAATCTTCCAAACTAATTGTAGACTGCAAATATCAGAAAAAATAAAAATTATATAAAAATTAAAGAATTGCGACATTTTATTTCTTATTAAAAAAAAAAATTAAGTAGAAAGTTTGTAAGGAAAAGGCATGTATTTGTGCACAATTGCCTGCATAAAATATAAGAAACATTTTCTGGACCCTTACTTTTAAAGACTTCAATATAGGCAATACTCTTAACACAATTGTTCCATTTAAAAGCACTTAAATTAGAGGTCAATAAGGAAAAAAAAAAGGGGGAAAAGTTAAATAGATGGCAGTAGAAAGAACATGCCTGAACACCATATACAGAGAACAACTCTATTCTCATTATCTCCAACCTGTAGAGAGTAGAGCAAGTCTTGCTTCGATCACTTTTGGAACTAAGGCCCAAACTTTTTCCATCTAAACAAAAAGTTAATTTTAGGTCAACTAGAAATAGCCAACATGCATATAACCAGTAATGTCAATTACAAAAATAACTAGGTTAGGGCAGTAACAAGATCTTCCCCTCATTGGATTTCATCAGCTGACTGATTGACTATTATAAATGAAAATTGACTTGACTAATAATACAGAAATTAATGAGCATGTATATCCAATATATGTCAGAAATCGAAAGGAACATACAAACTTGCATGGTTAAAAAGGGGGGGTAATATTACCACCAACCAAGTTGCTTGCCAGCATGATCCAGTTTGTCAATCTCAATTAGTTAAGCATCCCAGGATGAAACACAAAATACCTTTCCAGTCCGAGTTGTATCCATCGCTATCTTCATAATGAAATAGTCTTCTTACATAGAATTCTTCATCAGCAAAAGCAGGTCTGAGGCATCCTAAAATAGAGACACCATTTGATGGATGATCCATTTTTTTATGGTATTCGATGTTGATGACCTGCAACAGAACATGCCTAAAATAAATCTTTCCATAATATTAGATTAATATCCAAAAGATCCACATATTAGAATTTTTGTTCCCATTCCTATATCCTATATTTTTGCTTTTGATCAGAAAATCCTATACCGTATATGGACATATGTTTCCAACATCGAAGTTTTTAGCTTTAGTTCCAAATAGCCAACTTGGCCCAGCTTCTGAAAAAAGCTTCCCCCACCATAGTAACATTTATGCAGTCATTCTTCTTTAAAAAAATAAATAAATAAATGAGCTACAGCATATGGATCTTAAAGCAAGATATAGAAATTACTAATTTTATTATCAGAAAACCACTTCCTAAATTTATACACAAGTGACCACCCGACATACATGGCTCATTACCAAAGTTATTAACTTTAGAACAGTATGCCAATGCCCTTTGGGCCTAGTGGCACCTCCAACTTAAGATTAAAGGTGAAGGCTGAGTTTGAGGTAATGCCTCCACACTGTAAAAGATGATTGAGTTAAATGCATAAGACTGGCTATTAAAAGCAGTGATCAATATCATGCAATATAAATTTATTCTAACCCCTCCCTCAGAGATAGCAGGGTACTCACACTCATGATTAAAAAAAGCTTCAAAAATAAAAGTTACATACATCAAATAATCACCTTTGTCAAGCACTTCGCGAAATAAATAGGATGAATCGAGCTAGAAGTATCTGGCAACCCCCAGTCTAGAACATCAGAAACTTCAGATTCTACAACCTATTTTAACCAAAAGAGGCACGTCAACTTGAACATGGATAATTACGAAGGTAATGAGAAAAGTCTAGGATGAAAGATGGTGGGACGGGAGAGGACATTAAATAGGGAAAAGAAAAGAAAAGAAATCTACAATGTACAATGTCAGAATATGTGACCAAGAGATAGTAATCCAGAAAATAAAACTTCTAAGTCATCAAAGGAAAAACGTGGTTTATAAGTGGGGAAAAGTTAGCCATCCAGTCTTATTAGAATTTATATGGTCTTTGGCAGGATACAATGTCTACCCGCTTCCCTCTTATCTATATAAACATCGAATTGATAGTGAAATGGAAACTCTAAAGTATTTAAAAGTTTACTTAGCGTTTATTTTCTCCTAGCGGGAAAGGATTTCCTTGCTAATAATTTCGAGCCCAAGGCCTCTCAGAAGCATCAAGATGAGGCTAGGAATTTCTTTTGCATATTTTTCATATTTTTTACCATCTTCTTTGTCTATTTCTGGTCTGCAGACCAACAAAGTAATAAAATCTAATATCTTTTCTTTAACCTAATCACTGTTATTCCATCTATGTTTGTTGAACCTCCAAATCCAATCTTAAATAAAAGAGAGACTGTCATATTCTTCTAGAAAACAAAATTGCCTTTACTGACCTCGAGATAATCATCATCAAAAGGGATTTCATCACTATTTCCACCACCTAGAATGTTGAACTCACCAGCTATTCTTCCATCATCATATGTAGGGATATCCATCCCAAACAAAGCATTCTGAGGGCAAACACTCATATTAGAAATCAATTTTGCAATTAGCACAAAAGCATAATAAAAGAAAAAGGAGATAAAATGAAAAAATAAGTAAACAATATCAATTACACTAAAGTCTTAACTGTCTAAGCTGATATAGATGTCAACATACAAATGTTCCCACACTACTGTACTGCTTTGCTGCAGTCTAAAGTGCTAAATACATCCATGAACGCATTAAAATATAAATATTGAAATCCAAATCTCATAATGTCATAGGATTAGCTCATTTTCATGCAATTGCCTATAGCAGTCAACAGAAAATTAAAAAAATTACTTTGATTGCATGCAAACTACGTTATTTGAAAGCCGAAACGAGCAAATGAGCTATACACACACAGAGAGAGTAAATATTAATTTGTTGGAAACTTATTAACAAGTACCACAACAGAAAGAAAGAAAGAGCAAGAGAGAGAGACAGAGAGAGGTTGGAGGATATGGCACCAAAAATGGGCACCCATGAAAAGTTCATAAAATCACTTAATCCTTTTCCCCCTTTCCAGTGTAATTGAGGGCATTGCTTCTAAACTTAAACATCTGGAATTAAAATGAATGGAAAGAAAAAGTATTAAAGCAACCAAATCCTCACCACAGGGTTACTTGCTGCAGGATCCTCTAACAAGTTTGCATCATCAAAAATTTCAAAATATAAATCTACAGAAATAATTAGAATAACAAGATGGAATCAGAATCAAGAATAAAGTACACATAAAAACATTGACTTATGCACTTCAAGATAAACATCAAAAGACCTCCATAGTCGTCGATAACATATTCAAAATCAGCCCAGGAAATTTGTTCATGTGGTTCACAGTGTATCTTCCCCGGGAACACCAGCAAAGCACTGCAGTTCGCCTAAGGCAGAAAGGAAACTTTTAACCATGCATGGTAATAACACCAAGTACTTCAATTGTGGATGCTAGCTAATTAGTCCCTCAAAACGATACTTGCAGGTCATCATCCATATGCCAACTGACTGACTTTTTTGGTACTCAAATTTTAAAATTAATAGAACAGCTGTATCAAAAACAGAGACCTCAACTGTTGTTCGTGCTATTTCAGCAGAAGTGAGTTTGGTGTCCCGGACCATTTTGCAGACTTTCACTTCTTCAAGAGGATGATAACCTTGGTTAGTAATATAACTAGAGGAATCAGGAACAGAATCTGAGTAATCTGCAGCAACCAAAACTTTGGAAAGGCAAAGGTCATGTCCAATAGACAGCCAGTGGAATTGGGTTGATCCAAGTAATGGATTCCTGCAATTAAAACTATAATAGAAAAAATAAACTTTTGACCTAACAGAACATAAATTTTGTAAAATAAACTTTGAATTCAATCTAAAATTAATAGCTAAAAAAAGGGGAAAAGTGAAGGTAATGGTTGGAAAAGAAAAAAAAAATCCCCCGTCAAGTTACCACCCACACATCTTTCTCATAATTCCATAATTTTTTTTTTACGAAAAAAAAAATTCTATAATTTTTATTTAGAACATTAAATTCCTCATGTCTTGTCTGTAAACATCATATCTGAGTGCAGTGATCACATGAAGGAAAGGAGAAGAAAAGAAAGCTGAGAAACTCTACATTCACCCCAATAAGAATTGTATGTGCACCCAAAGTTCAAAGCAAAATATAATCATGTTTCTTGGTCGGTGCAAAAGGTTACTCACGTTCATTCAAGCAGAACTATTTTCATCTGAAGGAAGGTATTCTTTTCTTTCCCTCCCTTACTCAGGCAACCGCTAATAGTTATCCTATTAAAGGCATATCATACTCAGCACAGACTAAACCCAAATATTCCACATATTTTGTAGAAATAATAATGCCACCATATATATTGATAAGATCAATCAATTTTAAACTAAAGTACACCTTACGCCTGGAAGATCAAGGGCTCTTCGACCATCAGAAGGAGGTTTCATCCAACTGTTTGAGATCCCATGTGTTGTAGAACAACAAACCCTTTCTGCATGGCACGAATGGCAATGAGAAGAACCTGAAAAATCCATTTTAAAAATTTTCAAAAGAAAAAAAATGTCACGAGCGCCGCAAAATTGAAGCTTCCAAGCAGGAGGAGCTAATGGAAACAAAAACCCGAGAGGCTAAAAGACAAAAATTAAATAAATCAATAGTCCAACATAAGATTAAAACTAATTGCCAAGAAATTTAAAGGAAAACTAGAGGAAATCAGCAAGAAATCGAAATGATAATCTCTAAGGTTCGCGAAACTATCATCTTTTGTCCTTAAGCTTTTTTTGTTAAATTAATGGTCCCTAAGGTTATTCTCTCCAGTTTGATGAAGATTCATCGAATTGTATTTGAAAGAGTTATGCAGAAAGACAAGCAAGTCAGAGGATAACATAGGTTCCTCTCCATACGAATCTGAGCTATTAGACATGTCAGGTCCAATCACAAACCCATCAAAGCACACTTCTCGACCATGTCCAGGGCAAAGGTCATCCGTTACCCATCCAATCAAAAGGCCTAGACTTGTCCCAAATACTGGGTTGAGTTCGGATCATGCAAGAGCCCTTTAGTTTCATCTCTAGTTTGATCTCGTCCCGGCACCCGTAACCATGTTGGATCACTATCCACTTCTTCTTCGATTGCTACCACTAAGGATGTCGACCTTGATAATGAGTCCATTCGTTCTAGCGACATCGAGATTTGGAGGCTTGCCTTCGTAGGTCGAACTACAAGCACCTTACAACGAGTGAAGGGCTATTGCACGATCCTGAGGCATGTGACGTCGTTCTAGGTTGCCTTCTCCATCCTAGTGACATTAGGGAATGGAAAGACTTGGATGATCGTGACGTTGCATTACTACAGGGTCACCACTTAATTTCGTTATGCTCATCTTCATCTATTTTTTACTTTAACTTCGTTTGACTTGTTTTCTAATATATGAAAATATTTTGCTGATGATTGAATTTCGCTTGGTTGAGTTGTCTAAGGCATAATGGTGCAAGGATGAACTTGACCACATGATCGAGTCTCACAAGCAATTAGAGCAATGAATTAGAGCGAGACTAAATCGATCAAAGGGAAGGATGAGATTTCTCACCATTTGGAGATCTACAAACCTGAGATCAATTTTATGTTATTCTATTTTGTTGTATAATTGATTTTATGTTGTAAATTTTTTTATTATTAATTTTATTGAGAAATTACTGTAAATTATTATATTAACCCTGCCACGTTATTAAAATTAACGGAATTATGGATAAAGATGATGGTATGGGCAAACTTGGTCAAGGAGCAATGTGAGCCACTTTGACTTGCTGGAGGGATGTAGAATTTGACTATAGTTTCAGGGATTCTATTCAGCCCTCCACCGTGGATTTACCGGCTAAAACGGAGACGCACTTATGTTTTACATAGTAAAAAAAATATTAATATATACAACCCCCCAATTTTGTTTACGTTTATATATAACCACCCAAAACCCAAAACCCAAAACCCTAAATACAACGCTCTCACAGCTCACAACCAAAGCCCCGAATTCAGAGAGAAGATGAATCACATAGCAGCAATGGAAGAACAATTGGTATCAGAAAGAATAAAACAAAAGCTAAACCAAGTAAATCTTGCTGCCCAAACCCATCTCTCTCCCGTCCAAGACCATGTCAATTTCACCCTTCAGGTATATATATTTGATGAGCATGTAATCTTTGTTTTTTTTTATATTGGTTTTTCGATGGATTTTATTATAAAAGTGTCCTTTATATGTTATGGATTCGACGTTATTACTCCATTATCAGCTTTCTGGTAACACTAAAAAGATGGTTATGGTTTTGTTATTGAGCTGCGTTTGGTTGCTGAGAAAACATAGTAGGAAAATTAATAGATTCAGTTTGCTAATTTGATTACTGATGCTAGAGGAAACAGAAAATCATTCAAGTTTTCGGTCTGGGGCTTCCTTTTTTTTTCTTCTTTTAATTTTATTAGATTTTATCACTCTTTGTTGTATCCAAATATCAAAAGCTGAATCAAAGAAATTCAATATTTGATTCTTAGTTTATAATATACTAAGCATTAATATGGTTTGCTGATTTTCTGCTAAGACTTGGGATGCGAACTTGGTGATACATTGCCTCTGTGATCACTGGTACTATTTTTCCACTCACATTTTAGTTGATGAATTTTTGCAGCAAGCCTACTTCAAATGCGCATATGAGTGTTTTGATAGGAGAAGAAGTCAACAAGAGATTAGCAATTGTGTCGAAAATTGCAGTGTTCCTGTTGTGACTGCTCAACAGAGAGTTGAGGGTGAGATGGCCAAGTTTCAAGTAAGTACATTTTTTTCCTGCATCTCTCAGTGGTGAAACTCCTTCCATTTTCTAGCTTATTATGTTTTGAAGTAATGCATGCTATAGGAGGTCTCTGTCTAAGATCTTAGGATGATACTTGACGGATAAATGAATTTGAAGGAGAGGAGTATATTTATGTGCATGTGTGTGTGCATGGAACATTATGATTTGATTTCTGATTCAATGAGATATTATCTTGTTTGTTTTTTATTTATGCAACCCCATCTATATGTTCTTATTGTTTCTCAATCCTCTTGATATAAGCAAAAGCAGAAACAAACTTTATGAAATGATGTCCCAGCAACAGTGTACTGTATTCCTTTCTTTATAAAACCTTTAAATATCGACTACTAGATTGCAAATGTTACTTACATTCACCCGCATCTCAAAGCTAATTAGGAAATCAAACAAAATGCGTAAGAAAAGTAAAAGTTATAAAGCATAGATTTGCTGAACTTTATGGGTGAAAATCTTAAAGAAAATATTTCAATGAATCAACATCAGGATTGTGAGAATCTTTATACAAACAGTAGGAGGATCCTTAATCTAATTATTGGCTAAAGAGCTACCTTTCCCCCCCTATAACTAACTCTTCAGGGTGATAAGCAGTGTTTTCAAAGGCATGCTTTGATATTTATCAATCAGCATGGTGCAGGTCATTGAACTCTTTCGTTATTTTTTTAGTTTAGTGCTGAATTTCTTAGTGTCATCAAATTCACTGAAAGTGCAATGAAAAAGTTCAGTGCAATATTTAAAATGTTGTCAATGCCCTCATCAATTACAGAAGTTTTTCTTTTTCAGCTCTGAACTAAGTTATCAATCTTGCCCTTAGTTTTATGACCCTTAATACTGCTGCTGAGTGTGTGGAGAACGTAATCTGTTACATAGCATGTGTAATATTATCAATTTTAATTTCAAAGTTCAGAGGTGATTATGATGGTGATCTCACATCCACTCATAAGCTTTTCTACATTTGTGTTCACTTTATTTTCCTGAATATTTGTGCTGCAATTTTTTTTTTCTTAATACTTGGTGATGCGTAAACCAGATACAATTATGCACACTGAAGTATGTTTTCAGGTTGTCATTCTAGCAAACTACTTCTTGCTCATGAAAATTCTATGTTGGATGCAGGAGAGGTTGAGCAGGGCACTGATGGTCTGTCAAGACAAGCATGATGTAGCTAAGCAACAAAAGGCCACAAATACACTGAACAATTTGGAGTCATGCGTTGAAGAGGCAACCCAAGATAGCATAAAGACACTGCCACATCTTGCCGAAACATTGAAGGCTTCCTTGTCGATCAACAGTTCAGTGAGTAATAATTAACGTATCAGCCCGTGAGAATTGATAACGGATATCAAATTTTTTCGCAATTTATCTTTTGTAATGGGGAGGCAACCCTTGAGACCCGTCTTGTCGATCATGAAATGCGATGTGCGTAAAGGGAAGTGAAAATAACTAGGAACTCGGTTCATCTCAAAATTGGTTTGGTAGAGCGCATTTGCACCTCTAGATTACTGATTTAGTTTTTCTGCATGCTGATTTATGTAACAAGTAAGAGTAAGCTGGCACTCTCTTAAGCAAGCAAGACCAGGTCACCAGTATAACATAAATGAGAAAATTTTGGTGTCCATGTTGGTGAATTTATGCCTCTAGCAATTGAAATTCCCGTAAAATACTATAATATGATCACCCACTAACTACAGTATTAAAGGGATAATTGGTTGGAATGATTCCAAGGGATGTCAATATCGTTAAAATTTCCCAGTTGGACATGGCATGCTCTGTTTTATATTTCTTTATTTACAAGGGGGCTAAACCAAAAAAAATTCCGAATATGTGGTATGCTGACGTGGTTTGTTGAATTCGCTCATTGTAATACGTGTACAATTGTGTATCTGATACATCATGTGGTTTTTTTTTTGAGAGAAATAAACAGATTCATTCAGATCCAAACACTGCAGAGGCAATACAAAAGATACATGAAGAACACTGCCCCAGAAGAGGGTTCTTGCAAACAATAAACCATACAAATTAACAAGAACATTTCAATCTGGCTTGAGTTTTGGGCTCCCAAGAAACCCCAAACTTCAATTTCTCGGCTCATCAATGGGCCTTATGAAAGCTTGTTACCATCCATACCACAACCCACTCAGCAAGCCCTGAGCATTTGCGTGGCTTGGGCCCACTTAAGCTTGTAGCGTGGCTAGGTATAAAATAATGATCTTTCGCTTGGCATGACATGTCGCTTGGCGTGCTTGAATTTTGTCGTCTTTGAAAAGAGACATAATGCTTGACAAAATAATATCCTTGGTGTGATGTTGAAGAGCCACTGCTTAAATCTAGCACAAACTCTTCAGGCAACCTCACGCTCGTCCTCAGGATGACCAACACTGGTATCAATCCAAAACAAAAGCTGGTGAAGACTTTCTGGGAGCAAGATCTTTAAAGATATCCAGTATAAGGCAACACATAGGTAAGTATGAATAAAATCACTACAAGAGAAGAGAGTGAATACTGTAGAAAACAAGGACATGGTACAAATGAAGAAACATCACACAACATGTTCGGTTTGGAGTTGGACACCAAAATAGCAATGACAGCAAAAGAGGCAACAACGTTATTGTGTGGATTGGATTAGAAAATGAGATAGTTTTTGTTTGCAACGTGTAGAATAAGATAGTTTTTTTTTTTTTTACTACTTAAAGCACAGCAGAAAGAGTTTTTTTTTAAAAATCACATTAATACCAAACTAGCCCAAAGGGCTTGTTTAGGACTGCTTCTTTAGGAAGTGCTTTTGTTCAAAAGCGCTTATAATAAAAGCGCTTTCATTGGAAAAATCTTAAATTTTCATAAAAAAATCCCAGTGCTTCCTAGAAAAGCACTTGGGAGTGCTTCTCTAGAAAGCGCTTTTATGACCCAGAAGCGCTTCTAAACTTTCTGTTAAGTAAAATAACACGTGTAAAAAAAATAAATAAATAAAGAGGGTGGGTATAGGGGAAATGGAAACATGGATTATCGAAAAAAAAAAAAACTGGTGTGGAGTTGGTTTTCTTTTTGCCAAAAATAGGAAAAAAAAGTAACAATTTCATTATCATGTCTTTTTTAGTTATTATTGTTGGGGTCTTTTTCTTCCAGCAGCCAGACGAATGGGCTTGGGATGCTGTAAAGGATGAGCGGAGGAGGTTGCCCTTGTTTCTGAGTTCAAAGACCAGGCTCCAAGAGAGTTTTGAAAGGAGTAGTGACAACCTTAGAAAACACCTTGAATTCTTTCACCAATCAACCAAATAAACGTGACAAATTAGCAATGGAATGGCTTGGCATGAGGAGCTTGTGGCATGGGAGTTAAGCTTTCACAAGTTTAGCAATTTGAGAGAGAGAAAAGCATGAGTTTAGCATAAACAGAGAGAAGGCTGTGAATTCCTATGAGGAACAGGGGTTCTAAGGAAAGGGAAGTGATTCTAAGAAGGTTGGCTAAGGGGGGAGAGAGATGAGGAGGAACGATGGGTGGTTTAAGTAATTTCCAGCAGCTTGACGAAAAGTCTGTCAAGATCTGGAATAG